CGGGGCGGGACGGGCTGGGGCTGGGGAGGGGACCCCGTTGCGCAGGCCGCGCGGGGAGCGGGGCTGCGGGGTGCGCGGCCGCTCGTAGCTGTGAGGGGGACGTTTCCCCTCGGCCGCCCGCGGCGGGGGCGGGGAGGGCTTTGGGCCGCGGGGTGTCGCAGCCCGGGTGAGCTCCCTCCCCGCAGTGCCCCGGTGCCCGGCTGGGGCGGCGGGATCCCTCTGGTAGCGGGGAGGCGGGGAGTGAGCACTTTTTCGCTCCGGCTGCCCCTCTCCCCCCCTCCCCCCGGGACTCCTCTGAGCCTCCCCGAGGGGGCCGTGTCTTGCTCTGGTGCTCCTGGGGACGGGGTGGCTCGCCCAGGGGCCAGGAGGGCTTCCCTGCTGGGTGCCTCGGCTGCGCTCCTTCAGCCCGCTGTGTACCACCTCGGTTTTCCCTCCTTCCCTCCTCTTGCCCCCTGCGCTCCCTCCCCCGCGCTGCGCCTGGACGCCTCCTGAATGCCCGGCCGCCTCCTGAATGCCCGGCCACCTCCTCTGTTCTCTGGGGAGCTCTTCTGCTTCTGGCCTCAACTGCAGAGGGAAAGAGGAGATAGCGAAAAGCTCCTCAGGGCGGCATGCAAGCGGGAGGAAAAGCAGAGACTGCCTGTTGCTTCTTCCTTTTTCCCCAACACCTTGCAGTGCTGTCCGTAGTTGGTGCTTGCCCTCCTCCCCTCGGGAAGCTGCCGTGGTGGGATGAGGTGCCTGATGTTCAGGCTGGTGGGAGAGGAGCGGTACCTTGGCCTGGTTGGGTTCAAAAACGGAAGCTGAGTTTGAACGATGTGGTTACTGCATCTTATCTCCCATCTGAGCGGGTTTGTGTTTTGGTTTTTGCTTCTCCAAATGCACATTTGTCGTGTGTATAAGACTTCCTAGAGTTGATTGAGTCTCTGGCGTGTATTGGGGTTGGGAGGTGTATTGCAAGACCAGCAGTTAGAGCTGTTTTCAAAGGAACTTATCTCAAGGATCTGCTTGGACTAACAAGTAAACAAGAGTGAGTAAAATACTTATGAGCATAAGTTGAGAGAAGTTTTTAAATCTTCCCATCTTAAGTGCTCGTGACTTTAAATTGTTTCCTGGAGTGCTGGCAAATACCTCTGATTTAAAGTGACGGTTTCCGGAGCATAGAATGGTGTGCAAGGTCATAGTGAACTCTCTTAATCAGCATTTACATGTTTATAGCAATGTAATTCCTAAGTGCTTGTCAAAAATGCACGAGGGACTGTTGTATCTCCCATTAATCCTCTATCTGTGTTCTAGTCACCACTCTATAGAAGGATTTTTTAAAAAAGACAATTTTAAAAAAATAATCTGTTTCAGGAATAGAAATCAACTTTATTTGGGGACTCATTTGAATGTATATTTAATTTATACATAATTCACACCAGCTGGTAGTTCTGTATTGAAGTGTTTCTTACCACAGTCGGTTAGTATGCTTCGACTAAAGGTGACAGGGAAGGATGTTTAGTGCTAGAAATGCGCTTGGGAGCTGCGGTAAATAACGTTACCTCCTAGTAGGGTCATGAATTGGCTCAGGAATCCCTTTAGGTGTTGTGAACACTGTTGTGATAAAGTTGTGGTAAGCCAGAGCACTGGTCTTTATACAGTGATGCTGGTGGCAGCAGAACTGACACTTTGATTTCAGACCTGAAGACAGCATAACATGCTAGAGGCTCGAGAACAGGCTAAAAACAATAAATGTAGCTGTAATTAGCAGTAAGCACTGAAAGCCCAACTCAAACTAGCTAATTCACTATTATTGAAGTTCAAAGTTCATTTTGGTATTTTTGAGTTAGTGATCTGTCAAAATAGTTTAAAAAGCACATGTATCCGATTAGTCAATGTTCTGCTTTGGTGTGCCAGTATTTTTACCAGTGTGCCTAGCAGCAACTGCTCAGGAAGAGAAAGCCAATTGCCTAAATCCAGTTCGTTATGTGATTGTTGGAAATGTAATCAGGCATGGATGTTTGAGGTAATGTTGTTTCTCTTGAGGAGGGTGTTACAAGATCTTTCGTGATGCAGAGGTGGCTAGTTTGTGCTGTGTTGAGGTACTGTTGGTAACTTTTGCTTTCCCTGTGTGGAAGAGAAAGTCTGCCTGGCAGGGTTCTGTCTTGGAGCTTGCAGGATTTGTATGTAGGCCTCAGGGTTCCCCAGAATTTTACGTTTTAGAGGGAGAAGGGGGAACAACAATAAAGTAGGAAATTAGGAAAAAAATGTGTCTCTTTCAATTGAAACTAAAATGAGAGGAGCAACTGTAGAGCCTGTGAAAAGCAGTTGGTTCTGGCTAAGACAGATATTGGCCATCATAAACTTAATTGTGTGGAAAATCTACTTAGTATTCTCTGGGGATCACAAGCACATGATTGTGCTTTTAAAGGGTCGATGTATTTAAGCTTTCAGGAACTGAAACTTCCAGTGAGTCTAGAAAAATAGATGGAAGCTTTAGATAACACAATTATAACAACATTATTGCTACACTGCTTGTCACTCTACCATCCCAAATAAAAACAAATGGTCTTTGTTCATTCTCCCTCTCTTTCTGAGCTCCAGTGTAGGAGTTGCCATTGGAATTGCACTCCCAGGTGTAAGAGGACAATAAATTTGTCAGGATTACTCATTTAGTGTGAGGTTCTGGAAAAAAAAATAAATTAAAAATTGAGTAAACAAGAGAGAAGAAAGGATAGGAGGAAAGATGAACAGCTAAAAAGGTATTTGAGCCCTAGAGTACAGGGACTGATAACAGCACATTGGCTTATATATAGACATTTGAGTTAAATAATAATGATGGAAGTGGCTGGGGGAGAGAGAAATCTCAACAGCTGAGGAAGAATCTCTTTGGATGTGATCTCTTTGGATCTAATACGTGGATGAATGGAGGAGGGACACCTTTGCAGCAATAGAGGCAGAAAGCTCTGGACAGGTCTGCCAAAGGTTAAGAAGTCTCCCTTCATCCCTCCTGCAGTTCTGGGAGCCTGCCTCTGGCATATGGTTTCAGGTTTGATTCCAGCCACTTTCAGTTCCTGAACAGGAGTTTTATTCTCCTCAGTGCCTCAGCCATTAGCTGCTTAGTAGTAGCGTTGTTGTCAGTGTGGTACAGGCAGTGCTCACATCTGTCATGGTAAGCACATGAAGAGTTTCAGTCTGGGGGTTTTTTTTAAAGAAAAAAAAAGAAGAAATAGAGTCCGTTCTCTGTTCCCAGCCATGATTGCTGTACACGTGGAGATGCTGAGTGGTTGCATGCAGGCTAGCTCAGGAGCAGCAGCATATGAATAGGGCTGTGCTTTGCTTGAATAGTAAACACTACAGCAGAATGTTTGAGTATGTTCTAAACTGGGTTTTGGAAGTGTTCACACAGGAGGTTTTATTGCTGCTGTTTGTCAGAATTTTGTATCTGAATCGCCAAACTGTCTACTTAGGAAGCCTGCTGAGCATTTGTTTGCACCTTGAGTGCTTGTTGTGCCAGCAGAGGCACGAGACAAACTTTCATTGAAAGGCTTGCGCCTTTCCCTCTCCACAGAAACTATGCTACAATTCCACAGTCCCTGTTTCTCTTCCTTTCCTTCCCAGCCCTCCCTCATTTTTTTTGGCTTGAAAACTTGTTGGCCTTGATGCTGTTCTTTACCTGATGTTCCAAGAAAGGCAGAATAGAAATCCTGCATTTCTCCTGAGTAGTAGAAAATATGCCTTGACTATGAATATAGATGTACCCTTCTCTGGCTTTATTTTGAACAGGAATTTTTGCACAAAATCAGTCTTGAAAAATTCCCTTTTAGCTCCATGCATGTAAACAAGATACATGGGGTGAATATGAGATGTCTCTACCAGCAGATGTTACTGGCTGTGGATGGTGTCTGATGTTGGAGTAGTAAGACTTTTTCCAGTATTTGTATGAATATTTTTCTCAGGTACGTTGGGTGAATCCTATTGGCAGGTTCCAATGTCTTGGATGGTTTTGGAGAGAAAAAGGTAGCATCTGCCTTACTTTGAATTTGTGGAAGCTTGCACTTGAAGCATGAAATGAACGTGTGCTAAATGCAGGTGGAGCAAATGATAGCTGGCTAAAGTGTGTGTGACCTTCCTGGGAGCTCTGCTGGCGTAGGCAGGCAGCAGCATGGCTCTTATGTTGCTGAATGAAGTCACAAGGTACTACTGACAAGTGGATTAAGAGAGATTGTCCTGATGAGTCAGGCCAGAAAGTAAAAACTTTACATTTCAAATAGGTGAAATAATAAGACTAATCTAAGGAAGGGATCCATATCCAGAGCATCTTAATGCAGCTTTAGTTCCTTCCTCCCCCAGTCAGGAGTTTCTTGAGCACTTTTTTGTTTATCTGCCAGGTTGTGGGAAGAGTTTTTGTGACACCTGGATAAAATGTTTGGACTGAAGTTTTCTTGTCTCCTTCCCAGCCTGTGCCAACAGCGCTGGCTCAGGTTGACCGCGAAAAGATCTACCAGTGGATCAATGAGCTGTCCAGCCCTGAGACACGGGAGAATGCGCTGCTGGAGCTGAGTAAGAAGCGTGAGTCTGTGCCTGACCTTGCCCCGATGCTGTGGCACTCATTTGGCACGATTGCAGCACTCCTTCAGGTGGGTAGGACTGGCAGCATCTTTATTCCAGGGTGCAGCACCAGCACATTGCAGCGCTTGTGTGTCCATGGGGCAGATCTGGGGAGGCACTGGCGGAGTCCCTTATTGCCATTGTATGATATTTATTGGGTCACATGGTGAGGGGAGCAGATGTGGCAAGCCCATTTGCCATTAATCATCACTAGCAAGGCGATGTGTGCAGAGACTGTAAGATTTCTAATTAGATAACATACGTAGTTGGAAGGGGAACAAGCTAGCTCTTGGCTGTATGAGCTCCCTGTGGATCACATTCTGTTTATTTTCATACAGTGTCAGAGCAGAGCCACAACAGTCTTTACCCCTAAGATCTCTGGTTTGATTTGTTCTACGTGAGCTTGAGCACATCCTGGTCAGAAGGTTGCCCTTGCAGGGAGCCCACTGGAAGGTCAGCATGGGAATGCTGCTCGCTGCTCTAGTGAATGTACCTGCATTTCATGTGAAATGAAGCAGCTCAGCTTATCTCTGGGCAAACTACTCTACAGCTGATGACTGGCTATCTCACTGCTGAATCTAGTAATCTCTTTCGAAGAAGGAAAGAAAAGAATGCAGGATTAGCGATGTCAAACTGTTCTCAGAGTGGCCCTGAAACAAGTGAAGAAAATTAGAAGGGAGCTATAGCTGGAAGTAGGCAGATTTCTGAATCAGATTTCTCTCCCTTGGCTGCTTCACCTGCATTGAGTTAGAAGAGTACCAGCAGCTACAGTTTGAATAGAGTGGGTGTGCTCTGCCTCTAGGCACAGGAACAATAAACAACGCTTCTCTTGGATCTGGAAGTTCAAAACAAAGCGGTCCCTACACTAGTAAAGAGCCAGGAAATCAAATTAACCCTTTTTTACTGAAATGTAAGGTTTGAATACATTCCTGTGACTCCTTGTGAAATTGACTCTGACCCAGCTCTGCCCTTGCCTGGTCAGCGTGGTGGCTGCCAGGTAACTTCAAAGTGGTGCTTGGTGAAAGCAGACTGTCATCGCCTGTCACCATACTTACTTGTTCGGCAAGTGCTTTGGTGCAGCTTTCTGATGTTTTTCTCTTTTAACTTTTCTTCATCTGTTAATTTTTAGGAAATTGTAAATATTTATCCATCAATCAACCCTCCGACTTTGACAGCCCATCAGTCCAACAGAGTCTGCAATGCTTTAGCTCTACTACAGTGTGTTGCATCGCATCCTGAAACGAGGTAAGTGTTTGCAAGTGCCTGAGTTTTCTGAGGTGTTGATGTTGACAGCTCAGCCTGTCTGTTTGACTCCAGAAGCACATAAGCGCCTTTCTTCTTTTTTACCAAGGCAAGTGGAACAGAGGACAGAGCTGGAAGATAGGCAGCTGCCTGCTGCTTTCACTTGTTTGCACAGATTATCAGGATGACAGCTTTATGGTGATCCTAAATGCATTGCATTCTGTGGATCATCTTGAGATTCTGCAAATTCTGAAAACATTGGGTTGTGGCTCCTGGGAGCTCAGCCAGAGATGAGAGCCTTTGTGCTGAGTGCTGTGTGCAGGATCCTTGTTTTAATGAGCTTACAGTTATTTAAACTAGCAGCTTACAGGTACTTAGACCAGCTGTCCAAAGGGTGGAATGAGCAGGACTGTTCTTCCCAGAGGCCGTGTGTGGCAAGGGAGTAATAGCGGAGCCATGTCTGGAGTCCTCCTGCCTGACTTCAGGTTTTCTCAATCTGTGTCCACCCCATGTCAGCAGGGGAAAAGATGGTGTTGGTTCAGCCAAAATCAGTAGCTGAAACTCAGAAGAAAACTACCCAGAGATCCATGATCTCATGCTTCTGTTCCTGCTGAGAAGAAAGTGCTGCATAGCTGAAGTTGTTTTTCAGCTGCTGCAAAGCAGTGTTATACAGCAACCCTCCATGAGATGATATCCAAAGAAATACGGTAGTTTTACACCACACACCTTTACATTTAAAGTTTGAAAACTGAAAACAGAGGAAGAATGTTGGATGACTGTGCAAGAGAGCTTCCTTCTGCTAGCAGAGCAGTCTCCAGGTTTCTCCCTGCAGTCTGTATTTTTCACCATTTTCAGAAGGCAGTGTGAGGACTCTTGGGGAAAGGTGGCTGTGCACATTTAAACTGTGGTAATGCCTAGAGATCAGCCAGTCTGGATTTCTGTCATGCAGATCCTTTGCACGTGCATTGTGGCTGACTGTCTCTGCTCATGGGAGCCTGCAAGGTGAAATGCAACAGTGAATGTACAAAGCAGAGGGACTGGGTGGCAGTAAGGGGTAACAAAAACAACAGGATGTGCTCTGTTCCTGATGAGCTGGAAGCAGCAATGCAGGTAGCTGACAGTTTAGGTGTTAGGTTTTGTGCTGTGTCCAGTGCAGAATTTACTTCATGCCTTTCCATCAGAGAACAAACTGTTACCGTCTTCTGAGGAGCACCAGCAGTGGTGTCTGTCAGGAGGCTCTGCATGGTAATGCTGGATTGTGCGCTCGCTTTTTTTGTCTTGTCTCTCACATTGCGTGTTCTCCCTTTCTTGCAGGTCAGCTTTTCTGGCAGCTCATATCCCTCTCTTCCTGTACCCCTTCTTGCACACAGTTAGCAAGACACGTCCATTTGAGTACCTGCGGCTCACGAGCCTTGGAGTGATTGGTAAGCAGCCAGACTAACACTGGAGCACTGGTTTCTTACCAAGTTGGATGCAGTTCATGCTGTGCGTATAGAGACCTGCACGATCAAAATCACAGGTCTCTTTTTATTGGGATCTTCTGAGTCCTGTAGTGTTAACAGGAGGAGCTGCTCCTTTTCCATCAGTTCTGGAGGCACATTCCTCTTAGTGTGTAGGAACTGGGCTTTTCACTAATAAGAAAATACTGAAGTCTGGGTGCATTGCCAAAAATATGTTTTCTGTGAGTACAAGCACCTGCAGGCTTGTTGTGCCTTCACCCTCAGCCCAGCCAGCTAGACACTGGGATGGGTGGGTGCAGACTTGGCTTTCTTTGGGTTTTTGTCATTGATTGACTTGGGTGTATTTGCCCTGTCTTACCCTTATCTTGTTGTTTTTTTTTTTTTAATTCTTTCTGCCCCAAACATTTCTCTCGCAATGCATAAAATGGGTCTTAAAATGCACTTCTTCACAGAGGTTGCTGTGGGTGGTATGATCCTCTTGTGTTTGTATTACCACAGGGGGACAGCCAAGAATGCATCCCCTTTCTGAAAAACAAACAACCCCCAAACCCAGCTTGATTACTTTTATGTTGCCAGAACGATTTCTTCTCCAGCCATGTGCTGCAAGGTATTTAGGCCAACAGTTGCTCTGCCTGCCATTCAGACTTAATGATTCCTGGGGAGGACACAGCATAGGCCCTCTTTGAAAGGTGAGACTTTTTGGAAACAATTTATCATGTATTGATTTTGGGTTTTGTTTTTCCTTCAAGGGGCCTTGGTGAAAACTGATGAGCAAGAAGTGATAAATTTCTTACTGACAACAGAAATTATCCCCCTGTGCTTACGCATTATGGAGTCTGGCAGTGAACTCTCCAAAACGGTACCTACTCTTTTTGTCCTAATTAAGACTTGTCATATTTGTCCTTATTAAGACTTGTTTATCTCTGAGCAGGCAGCCAGTAACCTGCAGAGTTGGCTTGTGTCCTGTTGCAAATGCTGGGGCAACTCTGGATGGAGTTTTTACCTCCTGAAAAAACAAACAAATCAAACCCACCAAACTAAGCTGGAGTTCCCAAGCTTGGTAGTTTTGCTGGGAAAGACCTCTCTGCTCTCAGCACCTGTTCCATCCTTTGCAGCCCTGCAGAGTAACTTTCAGGGCTGAGCTGGATCAACTTTCCTTGGCCTGAAAGAACAAATGCTGTAGCTATGCAGTGCAGAGGTTTGGCGGCAGCTGTTGGTGGTAGTTGTGGGAATGCTCACCACACTGGACCAGTTTGTTGTCTCCTCTGATCAGGGGCCTCTTTCCCCCATGAGCTCAGATCTGTGGTCAGACTGGTCCGATGACCCAGGTAGGCTGGCTGCAGGTTTTAGTCTGTGTGTGCTTTTCTGGTGAAGCCTGCTGACATAGCTGGCTGAGGTTCTTCCAGAAAGTCACGTGTCTCATGATGAATCGATAACACTCAAGATGAAAACCAAAATCATCTTGCTGTCTAGATGGCAGGGCCAAGGGACAGGTCCTTCTCCTGCTTCTTGCCCTATGACCAGAGTAGTGTGGATGTAATCCTGAGGCTGCCCTGAGTGGCCCAGCAGTAGTTGCTGTCTTATGCAACCTGCATCCAGCCATCTTGTACACACTGCTTTGCGTCCATCTCTTTAGCCAGAGATGCAAAGCATTGTGTAGTGTCCTGCATTTTCTTTTGGCTTTAAACTTTCACCGAGTAAAGGATTTGCTGCCTGCTGAAAGGCCTTTCAGCTCTGGGACTGCCTAGAAAAGAACACAGCACAAAGGCTGTTTCTTTTCAGGATAGATAAGTTGTTTATACGCTTTCTTTTCTGCTTTCTCCCCATTCTAGGTTGCTACATTCATTCTTCAGAAAATTCTCCTGGATGACACAGGGTTGGCATATATCTGTCAGACTTACGAGCGGTTTTCCCATGTTGCCATGATACTGGTAAGATTATTTGTTTCCCCTCTTTTAAAAAAAAGAAAAAATTATGCTCTAGCAGCTACCTTTTTCAGCAGCTACTTTACTGCCCTCTGGCTGGAGTACAGGATGAGGAAGGCAAATCGTTCTTGGGCTTATTGCTTTTGACACTGTAGCTCTCTGCCTCCATATGTTTCCTTTGTATATCTCTGGTTTGCGTGTCAAGAGAACACATATTAGTTGTAACACACTAAGTCCCCAAGATAAAATGGGTGAACATGTCCAGAGAAGAAAAAGAGTTTTCAGGGTTGTTGGCTGGATGTGAATTGATTCAATTTTATGTAAGAATGAATGATCCCACTGCTCAGATTATGGATACATTTCCCATTTATGTCTCCCACAACAGGCTGAAAGAGCAGCAGGTTGAGCAAAGGAGTAAGAGCAGGGCAAGCATATATGATGTTTGCCCTTATAACAGTCTTGCAGCTGCCAGCTATTTTCAGCTTTGGATTTCTGAGGCCAGTGGTGCATTTTCTATGCAGTAACCCCCAGTGTTTGTCCTATCCTTCCCTTAAACCCATGGAAACTTTTTGTGTCCACAGTGTCGTTTACCAGGGAGTTTCATGGGTTTCCTGTTTGCTGCCTGGAAGGCCAACCTCCTTTTTTTTCTCTTTGAACCTGGCTCCTACTAGCTGCTGCTTATGACTTTTAATTCTTGTGTTGGAACACAGAAAGAGCAGACAATTTTTGTCCATTCCCTGTCCCCTGTGAAGGAGAAGTTTGGGTACTCATAATTTGTTCATCCCAGGAGTAATAGCCCCAACTTGAGCTTTATTATCTTTGAGCTTGCTGAGGGGAATACATGTCTGCCCTGGAATAGCTGTTGTCCTTCTTTTCTGTTTGTTTGGTTGGTTGCTTGTTTTTTAAAGAGCAATCTCAGGAGAAGAAAATGCAGCATTAAGTTAAGCGCTTTGCAATGCTGGTTCTCTGCCTAAATGTTGATACTTTCATTAGGAATATTTATTTGTCTGTCTGTTTTCCCAAATATAAAGAAAATGTTACCTCCTAATTCACCCACAAACAGCAAAATATGAACGATCACGAGCTGGTGTCCATAATATGCAATGTGACATGATTTTTGCATTCAAGAAAAGGATCTGCTTTGATGAAAGTACATGTGGCTCGGGGGCAAAGTGAAGGATGCAGTTAGAAACCCTGGGGTAGGGGAGGGAAGGAGACCAAGGAAGAATCCATGGCTGGGAAGGGTATGAACACGGAAGGATGTGGGTGTGTAAAACTGTGTCAGCATGGAAGAAATGCTAGCTGTGGTATAATCCCGCCATTGGGTGAAGCACTGACATGATTAATATTCCATAGTGCTACAGAGAAAGATGAAAATGTTCATAGACATTTCTGTTCTCTATTTCAAAAATTGGGATAGTGTACTCTGTCTCATGAGGGTGATGATTTACTTCCTTGTCTGCTGATAACTGCGTAAAATGTTATGCAAGTATTGGATGCTTTTAAAAGAGCAGGTTAGTATTTCCCATCTGGGAGAGGTTTGAGGAGCTCTCTGACCTGTTCTTTGTTTCAGAGAAATACTGGTATCCTGGGGAATTGCTGAGAACAGAAAGCTTGCAAAAGGGCAGACGAGGGGGACCTCCTAATTGCTAACTGCCTGACTATCCAAATATGGGTGAATTTGGCTAATGAGGAAAATGCTTAGTGCTAGCCAATGTAGTTTTACAGGAAAAAACCCCAACTTGTTGGGCAGATCTGATTGACTCCTGAACATGAGGAAGCAGACTGTTAAACTCCTTTAAAGCAGGCATGTGAAGGCATCCACACTGTTTGCTAGGCTGGGTGCATTCAAAGGTGCAACCATGTGCAAAGTCCTACATAGTGTGAGAAACGGAGGCTGGGCCAGGGAGATCTGCCCTGGTCTTGCTTCCCAGTAATGGCTTAATGAGGGATGTAGGAGCAATTAAATACAACTCTTGGATGCATGATAAGACCAGATGTGGATCTTACTATATGTGGTGTGGGTGAGCCCAGTGCTCTGGCATGGTTTCCCAGGCTATTGTTAAGGTTTTAAAAGGGCGTTGAGATGAAGGCAGCACAGATGAGAACAGGGAGGGTTGCAGAGCTTGGGAGCACACCTCACGGGGTGACTCAGCCTGAGCTTATCAAAGTGTTTGGGGTACATTTGCCTTCCTCCACCAGGGGGAAACCCCAGGTTCTCTTTAATCTAACAGAGGGTTGGACCACTAAGCAGTCCCGGGGAGGTAAAAACCAAACAGAGATGAGACAAGCTTTCCCCAAGCTGCTGGGAGAATCCTTTCCAAGTCGTGGCTAGCTGCTTTTAAAGGCATCTTGGAAAGCAGAGTGCTGGGCTCCATGCAGGGTATCTAGATGAAAGGTAATGGGCTGTGATGCATGGGAAGCCAGAGTGAGTGATTTGATGGTCTTTCCCAGTCTCTGCTGATTGTGAAGGTGTTCTTACAAAGACTTTAACTGGTGGCACTGGCCTCTATCGAACAGGGTAAAATGGTCCTGCAGCTCTCCAAGGAGCCGTCGGCACGGCTACTGAAACATGTCGTCCGCTGCTACCTTCGCCTTTCCGATAACCCCAGGTAAACATTTTAGGAGTTTGGGTAGGGGCTTCTCCCTCTCCCTTGGAAGTGCAGTTCTTCTCTACAGTGCCCACTTGGGGAGAGTCAAGGTTCCTTGTCTGTCCTTATGTCAGCCTTAGCTCAGTGTGGAAAATAGGTGGGGTTTTTGGCTTGTTTTTTTTATTGCTAGTCCAGGAGCTTTTGTGGATGGGAGAAACAGTGACTGTTTGGGTCTGGTGCAGATTCAAGCTGTGCAAGCTACAGCTACCTGAGCTCAAATGTAGTTTGAACTAGGTACAAGAGAGGGACTGAGGTAGAAGGTATGCTATGCTCTCCCTCTTCTGCATCATGTGGGCTGTTGTTAGTAGAAGCCAATAGATGAAATTCAGTTGAGGGAATACAAACTGATTTCATGCTGATCAGCAGCTCTGCCCAAAGCTGCTGGGTATATATTTATCATCTCAGCCTCTCCTGGCATCACATTGCTCTTGACTGACGGGTGTCAGGGCACAGGAGCTGGCTCGGTGAGGTCTAGTGTGAGGGATGGGAGCTGGGCTGGCTGCCTGAGTGCCGTGTGCTGCAGTGCTGCTGCTTGGTTCTTTCCTTGGGTGGCCCTGCCAGGGAGACCCCCAGGCAAAGGAGCGTTGTGTCCCCAGTGGGGTTTGCTCCCCTCTTGCCCCTGTGAGTTTATTTGTTGGGCCCCGTTTCTTGTCTCTTGATGTAGGGCACGTGAAGCTCTCAGGCAGTGCCTTCCTGACCAACTGAAGGACACCACCTTCGCCCAGGTCCTGAAGGATGACACCACCACAAAGCGCTGGCTGGCTCAGCTTGTCAAGAACCTGCAAGAGGGTCAAGTCACTGACCCACGGGGCATCCCTCTTCCTCCGCAATGACTGCTGGGGGAGGTGGGGGACTGGGGAAGAAACAGCTCAGGTTTACAAAGAACCAGGAACAGGTGACCTCTTCTGCAACAAACTGGGCACACCAGCTGGCTGCCAGCTTGTCGGACCACCCCACCCAGCCAAAGGGCCGCTCTGTAGCAATGCAGCATGCCTCCGGGGATCGCAACACCAGCAAATGCTGATACTACAGCTTAAAAAAAAAAAAAAAAAAAATCAATAAAAACAATCTGTAGAGATCCCCATCTCTCCAGGAGACTTGGCTGGCATCTCTCCCCCCACTGCCAGGCAGGGGGTAGTGCAGATGTCCGCTCTTCCAGCTAGCTCAGCCTCTGCCCAAGCAGTGTGTGACATGGGGTGTGCATGCCACATCCCTCCGGTTCCTTGTCACTTCTTGTTTACATGTCTGTTTAGATGAGTGAGCTGAATAAAAGCTGATCCAGTTGTTTTATCCCCTCTTAAGACTGCTACTCAGCTGCAGGTAGCCCAGGGACAGCTTTCTTCCCTGCCAGCACTTCCTTGCTCCTGGCTCTGCATCTGGCTGGTGCAGCGAGCTTCTCTCTTCCTTTCCTTTGGCACAGAGGCAGTGGCTGGAGCTGGGCCACTGCGGTGCTTGCCCCAGGAGGAGGGGTGGATTACTTGCAATGAACCCGCACGTCATAAGCTTGCTTCCCAGGGCTCTTGGGGGAGGAGAAGACAGCAGGACTGTGGCTCTTGTGCTGTAAATAGTGCACTCCCGCAGCTAACCAGCAGCTGGGGGCTGATGTGTGCTGGTCTCTCATCTAGCCCAGCTCTTGCCCAGCGGGGCTGGCTTGTCAAATGGAGCTCAGCATTAGGAAACCTGCCTTGTGGTGGTGGGCGGGCCACTGACCGATGATCCCTTGCCACAGGACAGCTGGGAGCGACATCCTGCGGGCTCCAGGTATGTCAGCTTCCATGCCTGCCGCTGCCTGCCAGGCGTCTCTCAGTCCTGGTCCCCCTCCCTTCCCCCCCTCCAGTTCATCTCTGCCAGCCGGGTGCATCCATTTCAGCTTTCAGACCAGCCTTGGTGTCTGCCTTGGCCCCACCGTAATTAAACTGGACCAGCAGCCGCTTACCTGCCTTCCCTGCGCTGAGGGGTTAGTGTGGCCACAGCAGGCTCTTGGAAGCAGCTGAGGAGCTCCTCTGCTCTGCTGCAGTGGAGCCTGCTCTTGGCTGCAGGCAAGCCTGGGCAGCTACTTGATTTCTCCCCCCTCCTCGAGGAGCCCATTTTGCTGATCATCTGCAGTGTCGTGCCAACAGTGTCTTAAATCCCATCTCGTTTCCCTTCCCTCCTCCCCTCACAGCCTTGCGTAACAAGGGCAGAGCATGGCCTCTTCCTTGCCCCCGGGGTTCTGTTTTGTAACTATCACCTTCTTTTCCTTCCCGTCCACCCTGACCTTGACAGGGTGTGAAAATGCTTCTGTTTGGTTTGGGGTTTTTTTTTTTTTTCTAAGTTCGGATTAATAAATAATAAAACCCCAGCGCCAGCACAGATTGCTCCTGGTCTGGTCTCTTGGGGAGGGCAAGCTGGAGGGGGGGATTTATTGCAGGCAGGAGGAAGGGGGGGGCTGTGCCAGCTTGGGGATGTGAGCTGGGGAGAGTACGTGGCTTTTCTTGGTGGGAGCTGGCCGTGTCCCTTCGGCACCCCATCTCTCCTGGAGCAGGTAATGTGGGGGGGTTTGGGGGAGGAGGTGCTGCTCTATCTTGCTTTGCAGGAAGGCAGCGAGTGCTCTCTCCAATGGGCTCCGGATGGAGCCCACTGGGGAGATCGCTCGCTGCCTTCCTGCAAGATGTTTGGAAGTGCTCTTACGCTTGCCCAGGGTCCAGGTCTATTAGAGCATTGGCCACCTGAACTTTGGTGCCTGCCCTCAGCGTTGCCCCAGCTTGGATCCCCATGGAGGTTTTGGCCCGGGATGCTCAAACTGTGCCCTGCTCTTTGGGTCCTGTGTCTCTCTGAACCGGAGGGTCCTGGCCCTGGGGACCACCGTGTCCTGGGAAGGGGACAGGGACACAGTGGGGACCCCTCTGTGCTCTGTGGTTGGGGAGGTCGGGCCGTGCTGGGTGCAAACGGCTCTGAGGAAGGACAGGCTATGCCGGAGGGTGGGAATGGGGGGCTCGGCCCCAAGCGGAGGGTACTGTAGGGTGCTCCCAGCCTTGCCGGTCCCGTCACTGCCTTCCCCCCGCCTTCCCCGCCCTCCCCCAGCGGGAGCGGCGTGACCTTAATCCGAGGCGACCTTCAGAGGCGGCGGCTGTGGGGCGTGCGGGGGCCGGGGGCGTCCCGCGGGCGCGGGGGGCC